TAATTTTCCAAAGTATTTATAAAAGTGGAATGGAAAAATTTTTTTTCAATCCACATTGTTACCATACAGCAAAGCATTAATTGATTTTAATTGATCTCTGCCTTTAAGGTCCCTTGTAAAATATTTTCTGGTAATTTTTGTATTTGAGTTCTTATGCCTTAATTTTTGTTGAATGATAAATTATCAGTCATTGTAAACAGCTATTCCTGGCTGTCTGCATATGCAGCTTGCCTGTTGTTAAAAAGTTGGATGTGTTCTCAGGTTTGTGACAGAGCTTCAAGGATGGGAAATGTGTGCTTTGCCCATAATCAGTTTAGCCAGCCTTATAAGTCCTTATGTAAGTGCAACAGTAATTTTAATGCTCTTTCCTCTATCCTTAGCAGATTAGAATTGTCAGTGTTAGAAATGCTTCTTATCTGATAGTTACTCCTTCAGAACATTTACCTACCCTTGACAATGGTTAAAGAGAGACTGTGGTCAAGGAAATTTTTTTCCTGATTCTTTTTCTTGGTTCTGATCACAACTTTAGGTGCATTATTTAAACTGTATCTTTATAGCCTTCATTCTTTTCTCCTTATGTGATGCCTGGAAAGCCCATGTTAGCCTTCCCAGTAAATTACTTAATGGTCTGTAAAGACTTCTATGGAGTTCATAGAGAGTAACATTTCTACTTTATTTTCTTAGTGCTTTGTACACATTTGAATATATCTGGTTTTCTCATAACTTGGGTCCTGTTTTCTTTTATCTGTTTCCCCAAACCTGGCAAATACAGGGCAGTCAGTAGCATGGGATCTGGAGAGCCTCAAAATTCATCTATAAATGAATTATCCATCAATAGGGGATTGAGTAAATAAACTATGGTACATCTACACAATGAAATATCATGCATCTGTGGGGTTTTTTTAAAGGTCATGGAATTAAGAATTTTAAGACATTGTAAAATTATAAAACAAAACAAGAATAACAAAAAACCAAGGAGTAGTACAATTTGTATATGGTATAGATTTGTTGCCTATTGATCTGTTGCTGTGTAACAGACCATGCTAAAACTTAGTGACCTAAAACAATAAGCTTTTCATTTTTTTATTCCATTGTTTTTGCTTATGAGTCAGGCAGTTCTGCTTTTGGTTGTACTCACTCATTCACATGTCTGCAGGCAGCTAGCTGCAGATCAGACTCATTAGGTTAGGCTCTCACATGTTTGGGGATCAGCTGGCTTTAGCTGGTACAGCTCATCTCTGCTCCATGTGGCCTCATCATCCAGCAGACTAGTCTGGATTTGCTTTAATGGCAGGATCAGGGTTCCAAGAGAGGCTTAGAACTGGCATTCTGTCACTTCCATCACATTACATTGACCAAAGCAAGTTAGAGGGCCTGGCCAAATTTAGAAGATAGGGAAATAGACCCCACTTCCTGATGCATTGCAAAAGGAGTTGCTAAAGAGAGGCCATTTTGGGGAGCATTCAGTTTAATGTAATTATGCTGCCCTGGTATAAATGGGAATGGAATAAGAATTTAAATTTGCATTTACTCATTTGTACCGAGAGCACAGAAGGATACACAAGAAACCGATTAAAATGGTTACCTGTGGGATAGGGTGTGTAGGGACACAGCAAGGAATATTTCTTATTAAATTGATTTTGAACCATATAAATATATGCTTATACATATAAGAAACAAAACCATCTACCTTTAGCCTCTGCCTCCGAAGATAATTCTCTTTAAAACTTCCCAACTGTTTTTTAGTTAGGAGTCTGGTGTGTTTTAAAGAAATGTGGTTTTCCTTCGTCAGCCTGCTTGGAATGATTAGGATTCCTGTAGTATGCATCTGAAAGATCTGTATTCAGCTCATTTTTCTCATTGGTGATAATCAGGAGCACTTGACCATATCTTCTTCAACGCAAAACAGCATCAATAAACATTTCAGTGGGCCTGGCCAGCGTAGCTCAGTGGTTGAGCATTGACCTGTGATCCAGGAGATCTCAGTTCGATTCCTGGTCAGGGCACATGCCTGGGGTTTTGGGCTCTATCCCCAATAGGGGGTGTGGAGGAGACAGTTGATCAATGACTCTCTCATTTATCTTTCTCTCCCTCTCCCTTCTTTCTGAAATCAGTAAAGACATTTAAAAAACCAAACAAACAAAAAACCCCATCTCAATGGCACCCGCCCTCCAACAAAAATACCATCTTACATTGTACTCGATGCTTTTGCAACTGTTAATTTTTGGATCATTCCATGTAACATCTCTGACATTAGATGAACTAAGTTGATAGTATACCCATTTTCCATGGGAAACAAATGTTAATATTAACTTGTGCATGGTCACATGGCTAGTTAAATGGTTAAATCAGAACTTCACGCTGGTCTTCATGTTTTCTAATCATCATTACTGTGTATTGACTACCTTCTTTATATCTAACACTAGTCTAAGCATTATCTCTAATCCTTATATCTTTCCTGCTAGGTAGGTCTTATTATCTTTCACTTTACTAATATTGAAAATAAGGCCCAGAAAGATGAAACAATTTGATAAAAATTCATGTAGGTTGTTAGTAACAGAATGAAGATTCACACCAAATCTCTGTGTCTGTACTCATGCTTTTTTTACTAGACAGTGTTATTGCTTGAAACATGAAGAATAACACTAGTGTTGGGGGTTTGTGAGTAGTGACCTGAACAAAAGATGGGCAATTTAAGCTGTAAGCAGTACTCGGGGGGCTATATTTTGCCCAGTATCTCAGCTTTTACTTGGTATATTATTCAGCATTCTGCATTTGGGTGGCTCTGAGTTTTTCATTCTGCCAAGTGCTGAGTGTTAAAACACATCTCACTGCTAAGCCCTCCTCAGGCCTTTGGCGCCCTTGCTATAAAGGCAGGTGGTCTGAAGAAAGGCTCCCTCTAGGTTGTTGCACACCATACACAACACGTAACAGTGCGAGACAACTGTCAGTTCCTTCCTTCCCTTCCTCCCCTCCCCCCATCCTCCAGAAAGCTGGGCCCCAGATGGAAGTGCTGGAAATGTGTCAACTATTCTCTGAAGGGCATTGAGAAAATACTGTCAAGAAGAAAAAGGCAAGCGCAACAGCTCATTAGTCCACTAATCAGACAGGACGACCATCAATTTTACAAAGAAAATGCCCTGGATAGAGAGAGGGAAGGCTGGCAGAGTGCTGCCCACATGGCTCTTGGAAAGCTGCACATTTTTGTCAGGGAATTTGCAATTTAAGGACATTGCTTCCTTGATTGACTTTCTGTATTCATTATATCTCTTCCCAAAAATGTGGCAAACCGAAGCATTAAAAATAATATTTGGGGATATTTTCCTCATTAGACCATGCCCATGAATGTGAGAAGATGTGCTTGTTGCCAGTGTCATGAATGCTCTTGTATGTATTGTGTTTACAACTGTGATGCCACAGAAAGAAATCTTTGATTTAACATTCTCATTTGAACCTTTGGTGTCCATTTCTTGTACTTTACATTGAATTTACTAGAGAATAAGTACATTGTACTTAAGTGAAAAGCTTGGAATTACTGAGAAGCAATTTTAAAGGTGATTATGGTAGCCCTGCCCTGTTATTAACCAAGCATATAACAAGTTCCCTTTAATAGGGAAAAATTACTTTGAAGATATTAGAACATTACTCTTTAATATAAAGTCTTATTTGTATTAGCTCAGACCTAATTCTAACGTCATTAAGTATAACCCGTCAGATTTCTCTTTCTGGAATTTGTTGCTGTCTAGTGTTATCAAGCACTGTTTATGAATTATCCCCATGGATGAAGTAGCCTGTGCTTAGTTTAGAATCATCTCTACTTTTCATCTTTTTGAACAAATGTTATAAGTGTCATTTAATGTCAAAGATGTTGAACCCACTTCTTTTTTACTGCTTAGATTAGTTGATATGTATAAAAATTTCGTACTTCAGCCCAGGCTGGTGTGGTTCAGTGGTTAGAGCGTCAGCCTGCAAACTGAAGGGTCTGGGTTCAATTCCTGGTCAAGGGCTAGTACCTGGTTGCAGGTTTGATCCCGAAAGTGGGAGGCAACCACTCGATGTGTCTCTCTCACATTGATGTTTCTCTCTTTCCCTCCCTCCCTCCCTCCCTCTCTAGAAATCAATGGAAAAATGTCCTTGGGTGAGGATTAACAACAACAAAAAATTAGTACTTCATTCATAGTAATTTATATACAAATGATTATATTTGTTTCTATGCCGTGTAGCTGACACCTACTGGTCTAGATAGTTCCATTCGGTTTTTCCCCCTACTAATTTTATTCATTTATAAAGAGAAGTTAAGAAAGAATGTGGTTGAGATAAGCAGAATTTATAACTTGCTTTCTTTTCTCAGCTACTATCCTCACTGTTAACTTTCTGGTCTCATCAATCCTTGATCTTGCTGCCTTGCTTTAGTTTTCTAGGATTGCTGTAATAAAGTTCCACAGACTGGGTGGCTTAAAACAATAATCTTCTCTCACAGTTTAGAGGGCCAATGGTCCAAAATCAAGGTATCAGCAGGGTTGACTCCTTCTTTGGCCTGAGAGGAAGAATCTATTCCATACTTCTCTTCCTAGCTTCTGGTGCTGGCTGACAATCCTTGGCATTCCTTGGCTTGTAGATGCATCATTCAACCTGTGCCTCCATCGTCACACTGTGTCCTCTCTGTGTGACTATGTCTGTCTTCACTTTGTGTATGTGTCTCTTCAACTCTTCTTATGAGGGTTTCCTTCATAATGGATTTGGAACCCACCAGATAATCCAGGATCTCTTCCACTCAAGATCCTTAACTATATTTTCAAAGACCCTTTTTCCAAATAAGGAAATGTTTATAGTTCAAGAGATTAAGAAGTAGATCTCTTTGTGGGAGCCACTATTGAGCCTATTAAACTAAGCATTTTCTTCTCAATCCTCTAGGAAAACATGTTAGTATTTTAAATTATTGTCACTATTTTTATTATTTTATAGAAAACTCTGACCTCTATTTCTTTTATTCTCTACAGTTGGTTCTGAGAAAAGGTTGCCAGCAATGCCTGGATCTCCTGTGGAAGTGAAGATACAGTCAAGGTCCTCACCTCCCACCATGCCACCCCTGCCACCAATAAATCCCGGAGGACCCAGGCCAGTGTCATTTACTCCTACAGCATGTGAGACCTCTTAATTACTTGGGTTTGTGGTTCAGAGTGATATTTGTATCTAAGTGACTGACTCCCATTAACCTTCTGCATATACTATTCACAAGATTTTCAAAATGGGTGTTAAAAGATATATGTATATCAGAAATGTATATCTGGTTATTTCTTTAATAAATTGCTTTTGCCCTCTTGAGAATAGTACTTAGCTCATTTGGGCATTTGGAAATTTAGTAGTCCCAATATTTTTTTCATACTCTTTGTCTGATAAGTAGCTATTTTAATTTGTTGGGCTCTAAAATAATGAATTAAAATTATCATATTGATTTATAGGAATTAAAGTAAGATTCATAAAATTATTGAATTACTTCTAAAAGTTTTCCAGGACTATCATGGTAAGTCTCTTTACAAAAAAGAAAATAATTATTGTATTTAGTTTGCTAGGGTTGCCATAACAAAATACCATAAACTAGGTGGCTTAAACAACAGAAATTTAGTTTTTAAAAGTTCTAAAGGATAGAAGTGTAAGATCAAACTCTCAGCAGGTTTGATTTTTTTTCTGAGGCCCCTGTCATTGGCTTGCAAAAGCCATCTCCTTGCTGAATTCTCCCACGTCCTTGCCTCTGTGCCAATGCATTCATGTTGTCCCTTTCTCTTCTTATAAGAACAACAGTCATAATGGATTAGGGCCTACCCGTATGACCTCATTTAACCTTTAAAGGTCCTATCTACAAATATAGTCACTTTCCGAGGTACTGAGGGGTTAGAACTTCAACAAAGTTTCAGTGAGTATGTGTGGAGCAACCTGAACACTCATACAGTGTTTAAGTATGAGAAAATTGTTTGGCAGTATCTTCTCCCTTTAAAAATAAATAAATAAATATAAAGATATAGATATATAATTTATTTATTTTTATTGATTTTTGGAGAGAGAGATAGAAACATCAGTGATGAGAGAGTCATTGATTGGCTGCCTCCTGCACGCCCCCACTGTGGATGGAGCCCACAACCGGGGCATGTGTCCTGACTAGGAACTGAACCTCGATCTCCTGGATCATAGGTTGATGCTCAACCACTGAGCCACGCTGGCTGGGCTGGCAGTATCTTCTAAAGCTGAATTTCCACAAATTCTATAACTCAGCAAATTTCAGTCCTACATACATACTGAAAAAACAAAACCAAAAAACCCTCAATTTAAAATCTAAACACTGGAGAGACACACATACACGTCTAGATTTTAATTTGAATTCTGCCTTCCCATGCCCATGCTACCTCCACTGCATATCTACCCTTACAGATATTTTGCCTCATAAAGCAGAAGAAAATTTCTATTTGTGTAGTACCCATATCATGTCAGAGCACTGTACTAGGTACTATATGCATTTTCTTATTTAAGCACTATTGCACAACCTTGTGCACGGTTTTTGCTCAAACATTTATGTTTTCTGTGTTAATTATTTTAAAAGACAAAAGAAGAGAGTCTAAGAAGTGGAGCTTTAATAGAACGCTTAATTTTTATTTTCTCAAACATTTGAAATTGAGTGAGTGGTAACTGCAGCAGTCTGAGTCAGAGTGAAAGAAGTTAATTTTGATATCTTTTTTCCTTAAATTATGTTTTCTGTCTCAGAGTTATATATCTTTATATAAGTACTGGCTTGAAATAAAACAGATTTAAACCCTGGCTATTGTTTGGATTTTAAGATACAGGTAACTGTATCTTAAAAATTTGGCCCTTTTTACCTCCATATTTGACTACTTGGAGTGGGTATGTTTTATTTCAGAAAATGTAATCATATGCTTTCACTAAAAAGGCCATGAAAAAGCTTGTCTGGGCATCAGAATGGCTAAAAGCACAATAATGTATTATTTTAATAGGCTGCTTCAAAAGAGGGCAGCTCTCCAGCGGCAATTGACCTTTCTGTGAACACAAAGAAATGACAGACCACTGCAACTAATTTTCTGGATTGCGAGGTTGAGTGTTGAGTTTTCTTTCCAGTACTTCTAGTGATCTTTTAGTGGAAGACACAGAAGAGAAAGCACCCTTTTTTCCTTAGCCTGTTAGTTTTTTAAGCAGTGAGTCATATTCAGCAGCATTTTCCTGAATACTTATTAATATTGCTAGCTAATAAAACTAATGTATATACAGTATACACAGTTTACAAAACTTAGCTAATTTTAGTGTACACAGATAATTAAGACTATTCATCAAGAAGTGTGCAATCTAGCCTAGCTAGTGTGACTCAGTGGTTGAGCATCGCCCCAGGAACCAAGAGATCACAGCTCATTTCCCAGTCAGGGTACGTGCCTGGATTTCGGGCTGATCCCCAGTAGGGGGTGTGCAGGAGGCAGCTAATCGATGATGTTTCTCTCATGGATGTTTCTATCTCTATGATTGACGAGTTGGCATTAGGCAAAATATAAGTAAATGACAATTTTCTAAGTTAGGTAAAGATTAAATGATTGGGTTCTTTAAATTTGGCTTAAGCCTTGACTTAAATTGTTTCTTATATTTTTAGACACAGTTTTATCTTCTTACATTTTAAAGCCTGGGTATGAGTAAGTGAAAATCTATTGACTTAGGCACTAGGTAATTTTATTTCACTGTTCAGTGAAGGAGATTTTTACTTAATGTTGCCGAGAATTTAGCTCCAGGATTGTGTTCCAAATTAAAACTAGCAAAATATGACTAAGAACAATGGGAAAAATAGAAAAACTGGAACTAATCACATATATTATAATTTAAGCAGAAATATAGAATGGTAGTGTCCTGTGTGGTGTCTAGATAAATACTTTATTGAATGACTAAGAATTTAGCAGTATTAAGCTAGCACTGTCAAGGCAGAGAAAAGCTGACTGATGGGCATGAATATTCTGAATGGTCAAAGAGATCTATACCTTACTACAGGAATAGGTCATTAAAACTATAGTCTAGAAAAAACATTTTTCACAGTAACAGAACTGTTTTCTGGTGTGCCTCATTCACATGCTACATTGTAATTGACTGCCTTAGCTTCTTTGGACCCTAAGATTAGAAAATGTCACATAAAAGATGGGCATGAGTGTCCATTCATTGGAACTATATATTCTCCCAGACTTATCTCATGCAGTAACTGTTGGAGGAAGTCTTTTTTTTAAAAAAATATATCTTTATTGATTTCAGAGAGAGGAAAGGAGGGGGAGAGAGAGAAAAACATCAATGATGAGAGAGTCATTGATCGGCTGCCTAGCCCGCAACGTGGGCATGTACCCCGACCTGGAATCAAACCCCAATCTCCTGGTTCCTAGGTCGATGCTCAACCGCTGAGCCACGCCCAGCTGGGCTGGAAGAAGTCTTAAAACTACCTGCACTTGCCCATGGCACCTGTAGAGTTAGATGACCCGTCTCTGCTCTAGTAGCACTCTACTCTTCTGTTTTAACACTTCTGTTACTGTTATCATTTTTTCCTGCCAGCCTGTCTCACATATCTAGCAATCTTGTTGGGCAGAAACTGTCTTGTGTACTCTTAACAGGTGCTTTACAAAATTGAAGTGAATATATGAAGGAGAATGCAAATAAGAAGAACGTATCAAAGATGCTTGTGTTTTGCACTGAGTCTTTCGTTTTGGCTTTCTTTTAGTAAGCAATGGCACCAACCATTCTCCTCCTACCCTGAATGGTGCCCCGTCACCACCACAGAGATTCAGCAATGGTCCTGCCTCTTCCACGTCATCTGCACTAACAAATCAACAGTTGCCAGCCACTTGTGGTGCTCGGCAGCTCAGCAAGTTAAAACGCTTTCTCACCACTCTGCAACAGTTTGGCAATGACATCTCACCTGAGATTGGGGAGAAGGTTCGGACTCTTGTTCTAGCACTGGTGGTAAGTACAACATCACTGTCCACAGTTGCCTGAGTATATGATTCAGAACTGAAGCCAGCGGAGAAGTTGTTCATATTTCTGCTCACTCCCAAACCTGTAGCAATGTGGCAAAATCTATAGACTAGGTTAGTTATTAATATAAGTTGTATAAAACTGTTGATTTGTGGATTTTAATTGTGTATAAAAGTGTTTATCAAAAAACCACATTTATAATGTTTACCTAATAGTTTCTTATGCTGTTGATTTAATTCCATTAAGCAGCTTTGAATATGTCTTAAAACTGAGTTTCAAGAGGCCACTGAGGTTCAACCAAATTAATGACAGGCTTTGTTACTTAATATATTCAGTGCCTGGTGCATTGTTTCCAAGCCAGAGAGAAAGGAAAAATAGTGAGTTTAATTTTCAAAAGAATAATTTGTAAAATTTCACGATCTAAATAAATAGTATCAAAGGAATTATGTTCTACAGCTCCTCATGCAAATACAGCATCTTTGGCGTTTTTAAGGTACAAACAATTTTTCTTTCTATACTGAGTTTGGTGAACCCATGGTATAAGGGAGTGATTTTCTGACAGTGACAGCTGGGTAGGGTTTGACTTTCAGTGTATATAAGGGAAATTCTGCCAGTTACCAATGTTTGTAAATCGAATTCTTCAAGATTTCCCTCTGGTAAAAGCACTCCATGCTCCTGCATGTTAGCCTCTATATGTGGTAAAGATGAATCACAGTATTAAACTTTCATGTTGCAGTTTTCAGAGTGTAATCAGGGGCCCCTGGGATTCCCTCTGACTGTTAGAAAGTCCAGGAGGTAAAAATTATTTTCATAATCATACTAAGATGTTACTTGCCTTTTTATTCTTACTCTCTCGTGAGTGCATGATGGAATTTTCTAGAGGCTGCGTGATATAGGATGTTGCAACAGATTAAATGCAGAAGCATCTTGAAGAACTCAGCTGTCTTTTATTAAGCTAGATATGAAAGAGATTTGCAGAACTGTAACAATAGTGCCATTCTTCTCACTATATTTTTTGGGGGAAATATAGTTATTTTTAAATGAATTAGTAATAACATTTTTCAAATTCTGTTTTAATTTTTGATAGGATTGGTGATTGATAGAGGGAACCCAAATAAATTAGAGGGATTCTGAGACTAAAAAGCTTAAGAACTGCTAGCTTAAATGATTCTTAGTCTAGTGTGGGAAAAAACAACTTTCATACATGGCAAAATGCAGTAAATGATTAATCACTTGAGATTCAATCTCTGTTGTTTAATATAACTGTAGGTTGTTTATTTTCATTGCTGTGTGTTTTATTGTAGGAATATGCCACAATTTATACATTTTATACCCCATGTTCTGAGATTCACTAGAAGAATTCCCAGGACCTGGCACAGAGTCATGCTCACAGGGAAGATTTATTACAGAGGCATAATAAGGATACCCAGCTGGATCATAAGGGAGAGAGATGCAGTTGGAATATGCAGGAATCCATGTGCAGGCTTCCTATGGTTGGTTACACACAGCTTACTCTTACCCCAGCAATGAAAATGCAGCAGCATGTGTGCCATGTTTCTGCCCAGGGAAGCATATTAGAAACTCAGTGCCCAAGGTTTTTACTGTGGTCTGGACATATAGGCACTCTTTCCCTAGCACTTAGCAAATTCCAGACTTCCAGAAGGAGACCATTGTTCAGCACAAACCATCTTGTTTGCAAAAATAGTCCGTGCACAGTAAACCACTCTCATCAGTTAGAGAAAGTTTTTTTGTTTTGAAAAAGTAAAAGTTTTTATTGGTCAAATTTTACACTACTATGGAAAAAATCTTACTGGATCTATCTAGACTAATAAAATTGGACTTAAATGTCAAAATGAGTTGGAACATAATTGGAAGCAAAGCAGACATCAGAATATTATGCCAGTTCCAGCAACAAATTACTTTTAATAGAGCCTATGTTTAAAGATCATTTCAATAGTAAAAGAAAAAAATAATAGCCCGGCCAGCGTGGCTCAGCAGTTGATCATCGACCTAGGATCCAGGAGATCATGGTTCGATTCCCAGTCAGGGCACATGCCTGGGTTGCAGGCTCGATCCCCAGCAGAGGGTGTGCAGGAGGAAGCCTATCAATGACTCATCATTGATGTTTCTCTCTCTCCATCCCTCTCTCTGAAATCAATAAAGATATATTTAAAAAAAATAACAAACCTCATTTGCCCCCCACCCTGCAAAAAAACCCCACATGCTTCTTTTTCTAGCCATGAAAGTAGGTGTAGATGTAGTCAGTCATCTCTTTTAAATGGCCATGCTTGGGTTAACTTTTTTTTTTTCCATTGGGGAAAAAAAAAAATTGATATTTTTAGGAGGTGGTAAAATACACATAAAATTTGCTATCTCAAACATTTTATTTTTTTAAATATGTTTTTATTGATTTTTAGTGAGAGAGGAAGGGAGAGGGATAGAGAGAGACATGGATGAGAAATATCATTGATTGGTTGCCTCCTGCACACACCCCTACTGGGGATCAAACCCACAACCAGGGCATGTGCCCTGACCAGGAATCGAACCAGTGACCTCTTGGTTCTTGGGTTGACACTCAACTGCTGAGCCACACCGGCCGGGCAGGATTCTCTGTATAAGGGCACTAACGACCTAGTCTCCTCCCAAAGTCTCACCTCCAAATACAAACACATTGGAGATTAGACTTTAACATAGGAATTTTGAGGGGTCCCAAATGTTCAATCTATAGCAGTTGGCATTAAAACTATATAATATATTTAGGGACAATGCGAGAAAAAGGCTTGTAATACCCATTATTATTTTTTAAAAACCACACTCAGCAGGAACTTCTTTAATCTCTTCTTTGTTTATATATGTAAACAAAAAAACCTGTAAGCAAGTCTGATGTTTTATGGTAAAATTTTGAAAGCTTTCCTTCTTACATTAGGAACCAGGCAAGGGTGTTTCCTCTGTTCAGTAATCCTGTACATTCTAGCAGCAAATAAGACATAAGGATTAGAGTGGGATAAATAAAACTGCCATTGTTCACAGATTTAGGGATCACCTTACATGTGTTGCTTTTGAAATTACCACTTAGTTCTTTTTTCTTTTGGTTTTGCTACCAGCCTGTTGAAAACATTTTCTAATTGGGAGGAAGATGAGCATCTTTAGATTGTTATGTTTCCCTGTTTAAGAAAGCCTGATAAGTCTTCTATTTATGAAAAGAATAGTAAAATTTTAGCAGACATATGTAAATGGAACAGTTGTTCCATGTGGAAGAGACTTCCTTAGCTGAGTCAGAAAAGGCCTCGCAATGAGGTAGCTGGAGTTTAGTTCACTTATGTTTCTGGTGTGTAAGATAAAATGCTGGTGGGCCCTAACTATACCAAGGAGAAAGTATGAACACTTCCCACTGTCAGGTAAAGGGAAATATTCTGTACTCCACCTAGTTACTTGGAGAATACACATTCTGGAGGGTAGGTGGGCAATGTTCTGGGTACCTAAAGCTAGGCAGTTCCTTTGACTCACCAGTTTCTCGCCTTGAAGTTCATCCTAACAAAATAATAATCTGCACCAGGATAATCAGTTCAATGTTATTTATAATTCCTAAAAATTGAAACCAGCTAAATGTTTTATAAAAGCCTAAGTTACAGTACATCAGATTAGTGGAATATGATATAGTTATGAAATATCAAGTCTGGCTCAGAGATATTCTTCCTATTCCTCCTGACAGAGCAAAACATCTTAGACTTTATGTATAGAACAAAAATAAGACTGAAAGATGGAGAGAAGGCAGTTTGACTGATGACCTAGAGACCCAAGGCAGTACATAGCAGTGAGTTTCCTAGGTTTTATGTTTTCATCATATATCCTAGACTGTGGTCTGGAGAAGCTAGTAACCTGGAAACACTTATGAGCACAGACCAAAAAAAGGCCTCTTTCTAGCCAAATGAGTCTTAGAACATATCCAGGATACAATAGAAAATCACATGTGCAAGAGCCAGGACCATCCACACTGAAATGAGAAAAGATAACCAACAGACATCAACTAAGCCGACACAGATGTTGGAATTATCTGGCAAGGATTTTAAAGCAGCCATCATAAAAATGCTTCAGTTAGCAATTACTAGCACAAATGGAGGAGAAAAAGGTCTCCATAAAGAAATAGAAGATATAGCCTTGACCAGTGTGCCTCAGTGGTTAGAGCATCAGCCCGTGCACCAAAGGGTCACGGGCTTCATTTCCTGTCAAGGGCACATACCTGGATTGCAGGATCTATCCCCGGCCCCCATCAGGGTGCATGTGGGAGGCAACTAATCAGTGTGTCTCTCACATTGATGTTTCTCTCTCTCCCTCCCCTCTCCCCTCCCCCTTCCACGCTCTAAAAATCAATGGAAAAATATCCTCAGGTGAGGATTAACAATAAAAAAAGGAAGAAATAGAAAATATAAAGAAGACTAAATGGCAATTTTAGAACTGAAAAACATAATAAAACTAAAAACTCAGTGATGGCCTCAACAGTAGAATGAAGAGGACCGAGGAAAGATTCAGTGAACTTGAGGCTTGAACAGTAGAAAAAACTGCTTAATGTGAACAATAGAGGGGAAATGGCTTTTATAAAAATGAATAAAACCTCAGAGAGTTTTTGTTCTCAATCACAGTAAGAGAGGATTTGAAAGAGTGTGAGGCTGATATTTTCCCAAATTTGAAAAAAGACCTAAACCTACATATTCAAAAGTACTGAGCAGACCTCAAACAAAATACCCCACCTCCATTCGCTCTACCCCACTCCCTGCAAAACAAAACAAAACAAACCAAAAAAGAGAAAACATCTTGAAAGCAGCAAGAGAGAAACATCAGGGAAAAATTCCAGTGACAGTGGATTTCTTATTAGTAACCACAAGGCCAGAAGGAAGTGGCACATTTTTCAAGCGCTGAAAGAGAAGAACTTTTAACCCAGAATCTTATATCTATCAAAAATATCTGTATGTAATCAAGAATGGAGGGGAGGGGTCAAAGTACTCAGATGAAGTAAAGGAAGCCAATTTGTCTCCAGCCAACCTACCCTCAAACAATGGCTAAAGGAAGTTCCTGAAACAGAAACAAAATTATAAAAGAAGGAATCTTTTTATGTTCTCAAACATTTAATGATATAGAAAGTCATGTTAAGTGAAAAGAGCTGGATTAAAAAAAACACATACAATATTGTGAAAAAAAGCTTGCATTTTAGAAAAATACTAGACGAGAGTGTCACAGCATTAACAGTGATTATCTATGCAGTGGTGGACTTAAGGATCATTTTCTACATGTGTGAGCTGTTCATACAAGGTTAAAAGCACTAAATGGAGGGTTAGGGAAAACTCCCTGGAATGTGTCATCAGCAGGAGCCACGAACCCGCTTCTCTGGAGCTCTTTAGCCTGACACTGGGTTGGAAGGGTGGTTTTAAGGTGAACCTGACCACAAGTGGGCCAGGTAAGATGGGTTCTGAATTCAGCCCTGAGTTTGCTTCTTGCGAGCATGACCATGAAGAATCCGATCCTGATCCCTGCCGTCTAGGAGTTTGCTGTCTAACCAGAGGCAGGCCGCACTCTGAGAGTCACTGCTTCTCCTCTTAGAGCCAGGCCTCACCCTCTGCAGTCGGGTCCCATAGAAGAGCTTTCATCCATCTTAAAGGGGAACAAGCTCGGGTGAATGTCTCCCTCAGAACCATGCTGCTAGCCAGCGGTCCAGCTAGAATGTGAACTCAGAGCTCTGACATCAAAGCCTGCTGTCTTACCCACGACACTGCCACATCCAAATCTAAAAATAAAAATTATATCAGGTATGTTTTTAAAAAGTCATCATTTGATACAAAAGGAATCCTGTATCCATGTCACTTGGTCCCCACACCGTCTATCAGGCAAACAGCCGAAGTGTCAGGTTGGGTAAATAACCACCCATCAAAGGGTCCCAGGGCCTGGAGCCTCACCACCCCTGCTGTAAAAGATGGAATCTTGAAATATCAGGATGGATGAAAGAAAAATGGAAAGAGTAAAATCATATGGAATATAACAGACTTTCCTTCTCCTCCTGAGTTTTCTAAATCATGTCCTGTGGTTGAAGCAGAAGTTGCAGCATTGTCTAATATGGCTGTCAGTACATAAAGGGACTAAGACAATTACATTATAAGCCTGGGGGGATAAAGGTAGATGCGGCTCTACACTTCTGTATCTTGATTGCAGCGGTGATTTACATGAATCCAGTAAAACAGCGTGGAACTATGCACACCTTTTGTCAATGTTAGTTCCCTAGTTTGATATTGCATTTGAGCTATATAAAATGTAACCATTAAGGGAACCTGGGTGCAGGATGCATGGGAACCTATCTATTCTATTTTCACAACTTCCTGTGATTATAATTATCTCCATTTTAAGAGAATAAAAAATGTTGTCTGGTCACCAATCTATATCCACTGTCTTCTAAGACCACTATAGGCATTGCCCTTGGGATCCAGACATCAGATCCCTGAAGTTGTGCTCTCCTCTTTGTTAGTATTTTCCCAAGGCTGCAGCTTCACCTCTTCAGATGACACTTCTGTAACCCTTCCTTGTCCTAAGTCTAATTCAAACTCGTCTTCTCTGTGCACCAGCAGTGTCCTGTGCACGTGTACCTCAGTCACACTGTAATGAATAGCTTGCCTATTTGTTTTCCCACTAGACCAGCAATTTTCAACCGGGTGTGCCACAAGAATTTTTAAAACATGCAATACCTGACTGTTTAGTCAGGGGCACTGATCTCTTGTCCCTTGAATTGTCAAATTAAAAAAATGACAGCCAACACAACAATAGGTGTTCGATGTGAAGGAATCAAAATCATACCTATTTTTCTTGTCAGATTGGCCAAAAATATATTTTGTGGTGTGCTGCAGAATTTTACTAATTAGTTTATGCGCCATGAGATGGAAAAGGTTGAAAATAGCTGCTCTAGACTATGAGTTCTTAGGGGGAAAAACACTGTGCTTTTATTTATTAAATAATCAACTAAGAAGGAAAGATGAAAGAACAGGGGCTCATTACCCCTCAGATGGAGGACTGCGCTGCACCTGCAGGGTAGGAGCCCTGAGTCGGCTTTGCTGGCCTGAGCGACGGCTCCTCTGCGCCACACGGTTCCTTTTCCTCCTCTTTATGGCCACAAGAAAGCTCAGTCGTTCATGCAGTGTTTTCGTAGGTTTACTCTCATTTTCACTGTTTGAGGCCTGATTACATTCACTGTATTAGGGAAAGAATATCATTCTCATACACTTAATTTTTATTCCTGATTATTAGTACCTTTGGTTGCTTTATGCAAATGTGATATACTTAAAACAAGTACTAAAAGTCTAAAAGAATGTTTTTGTATGAAATGAGGTAAACTATTCAAATGTTTTTATTTAACATGGTTAAATTTGATACATTCTTCCCTCTTAAGAGAAGTTTATTTTTACTGAATATTGATATATTTGGAAAGTCCAACATAATTTCACATCCAGAATAACTGCTATTGTAATTGTTAAAGTTGTGTGTGTGTGTTATTTTCATAAATGGATGTTTGGGAAACATACTGTTCTGTTTCTAAGGGGTTTTTTACTCAGCAGTAAATTATAGACACCTTTCTCATTAATTCATACAAATTTGTTGTGTCCCCCCCAACTTAAGTGTTCTGAGGTATGACTGTATTGGAATTTTTAATGCAGTTTCTTGTTGGTGGAACTGTTTTCCATTTCTTATTGTTAAGCAATGTGGTACTGATTAATAATTTGTATGGTACATGTAACACTTTTGAACACTTGATGATTTTATATAAGTCCCACAAGTGCTAATTGTTCTTTCAGGGTAGCAAGAATTTAGATGATTGTGAAGTTTTTAAACTTGTTTTCTTATTATACTGTGTTTTGGGGAGTTGAAATAAAAGTATTTTGTGAACTTCAAAGAACATATTTTCATCTGTACATTCCCTTTATCGGAGGAGCTGAGCATACTAGTTTTAAGTCAGACTTTTGAAAAAAATACAGAGGAAATGCTAATAACTTTCCTGGGAATACTAATCTACCAATGGGAGTCTGCCTGTTCAGAGGTGCTCTGATTTGAAAACAACCCTTCGAGGCAGAAGGGACTTGTTTGTTTGTTGTTAAACTTTGAATTTAGAAGATTTGGGGAACTGATGCTAGGAGGTAGGCAGAACCTATAAAGAAAACAACTTCGGAAGACATGAGGCTCTGGGTTGAGTCTTTAAGTTGACATCCTAGACTGATCAGGATCTGTCCAGCTTGTAAGCCTGATTTTCCTGTAACTGAGGTGACTTGCAGTGAACCCTGCAGTACAGGGGACCCGAGTGCCTCTCTTCACAGATTGTGAGGAAGGCAGTCCCCTATTTTGCAACCCAGGCTGCTGAGCATAGAGGGGAATTTAGATTTGGGGTAGTAAAGAAAGGAAAGTCAAGAAGGCTGAATTTCTTTTATAAAGGAAACAATGTGGTTAACCTTTGAAAAGGATCTGAGATCACAATAGTATTCTTGGAATTATCCTTTTCTTTATGATTTAAAAGGGATTTAGATGAGGTCAGTGTCTAGTTTTAGAGGTTGAACAAGATTGTTTCTCTTTTCAGAACTCAACAGTAACAATTGAAGAATTCCATTGCAAGCTCCAAGAAGCTACAAACTTCCCTCTTCGTCCTTTTGTGATTCCATTCCTCAAGGTAATGTTTATGAGATAATTAGTGAATGTAATTATCTTAACATTTCCTCAAGATCTGCTACTGATAGCCTGTTCTGTGATCTAAATTGGGGCAGCTTGCACATTTTCATATCTTTATTTTTACTTTGGGCTGCTAGAGAAATGTGAGTGCAGCCTTCAGGTGAGTCTTATACTTGATGAGAATTACAAAAGCCTTGAGTTGTGGTCTGTATGCAGACTCTGCTGGAACACACAGGAGTAGATAGAGGGTGAAGCAGGAGGTGAGTGGGCCAGAGGTGTAGAGGTGGCGTGGAGGCTGGGGTCTTGGCAGAAGTAACCAGACACTAAATCTTTTGGTTGTGGCCAGAGGGTGAAGAGTGTATTATCTGAGAGGAGGCTGTCAGACAGAAGAGAGGCCTTTGCAGTTCAAACTTTTACCCTAAGGCAGCAATTTTCAACCTTTTCATCTCATGGCACACATAAACTAATTACTAAAATTCTGCAGCACACCAGAAAATAAAATTTTTGACAATATGACAAAAAATTCATATACTTGTGATTCATTCACACTGGATGGCTATTGTTGTATTGGCTGTTGTCATTTTTTATTTGACAATCTAAGGGAAAAGACTAAATAGTCAGGTACTGCACAGCTGTTGAAAATTGCTGCCCTAAGAACAGAAGACCATATGGGAAGGCAATGTATCCCCTTTCATATAGTTTCTAATTATGTCCTCTGGAATTACCGTTCCCTGAAACATAACTTTTGGGGATACTGTTCAAAATGGTTATGCTTACCTGTTAAGTAAGACAGATTTATATGTAATATGCCCTTTTAAAAAATCTTTATTTTGAAATAATTTTATGCTCACAGAAAAGTTGCAAAATGGTACAAGAAAATTTCTTTACCTTTCATTCAGATTATCCAGACGTTAATATTTTGTCACATCTGGATTATTATTCTGTCTTTAGATTTATTTTTTCCTCAGAAATGTTTGAGAGTAAGCTACAGACATGATATAGCAAATCACTTTAGTATAATTATCACATTAAGAAATTAACATTTATAAAACACTATTACTATAGACTTTATGTTTCATCAGATGTTCCATTAAATATTCTTTACAGCAAAAGAAAACCTTTTTTTCTGTACGTAATTCAGGATTGCATCTTGCATTTCATTGTCATGTCTCTCTCTTTTCTTGTTAGTCCCCACCCAAGAATATTTTTTCATTGATTTTTATAGAGAGTGGGAGGG